TTCTAGCCATGTGGGATGATGAATAGAAGTATAACGTCACCATCACTAGTTACCCCCATACGTCATCATTCACCAACCTTCTCTTCAATTCGAACAATTTCTTTCTCCGAACCACTATTCTGTGAAACTGACAACCAAGAGGATATTTCCATGAGTACGGCAGCTTCAACCTGTTCGTGGGTAGGGTTAAGCGTTATCTTCTCCTACTATCCGTATAAACTGGCTCCAAATCCATTCGTTATCACAATCAGAGTCATCCAGATCTGTACTCTTCTCAGATTTACACTAAATAGTTCTTAAATATTCGTACTGGATCTTGCGTTGCGAATGTCACACAATAGAGTATGCCGTTTCGAAATTCCTGGCGGAGTGAATTGCGTCATGGTGCTGTTTTCTCACAGACGATGCCCAACTGACCCTACTATACTGTGCAGTCGAAAACATCAAAAACAAACAACACGCATGCGCGAAAACGAAAATATAAAATGGCGGCAATTTACCCATCTCGCATCACGTTGACAGATCTAGATTCCTTTATGGCCATATGGGGGTCATTCATAGCTATCTCAGCTATATGCAACCGTATTTTCAAATCAATGATTAAAAATAGCTTCGTAAAGAAGACTTGCCTTCATCAAATATTATTTTAGAGCTTAGCACAGACAATGAACTTTACTATATCTCAAAAACACACATAATCTGAACATTTCCTACATCAGTAACAACTAAAATCGATAGCAAAATATTGATATAATCTAAACGTTGACTTTCCACATCGCCTTAAACAAAAGTTGAGAACGAAAACTCCCATCATTAATATAGATAATAATAACTGTGGATTAATGCTAATGCTAACTTTTCGGTCAATGTATGTCAAATATTTCTTATATAAAAACGGCTATTGTCTCCCTTGTCATTGTATCCTATGAAAATAAATTATCCCGTCAATTCGCTGTACAGTGAATACGTAAAGCTAAAACCCACCAAACTGAAATTTTCAGGGTTTACGAGTGTAAAATATTTTGGGGAAAATTAAGTAGAAATCATGATCAAAAACAGACGGAAGATGACCATTGCATTTAAACTTTTTAAGATCAAAAGCAAGAAGCCGAATGAAAGTTCCACATGCAGGAAGTGCCAGGGAAGAAACTGGTAGCATAGAATTTATTATTACATCGATTTATTCCAACAGTAAAATCATTACATCTACCTGCCAATCTGGTGGTGTTCTTAAATTTGTAAAGTTGAGGTACTAACAAAGAAAGATCATAAAATCAACAATTACCATGAAAGTATTTATATAACATTATATGTATGTATGTATCTATCTATCTTAGTTTCTTCAACTATCTTAGTTTCTTCATCTATCTTAGTTTCTTCATCTATCTATCTATCTATCTATCTATCTATCTATCTATCTATCTCATACTGTTCACTATCTATCTATCTATCTATCTATCTATCTATCTATCTATCTATCTCATACTGTTCACATCTATCTATCTATCTATCTATCTATCTCATCTGTTCACATCTATCTATCTATCTATCTATCTATCTTACTGTTCACATCTATCTATCATCTATCTATCTATCTATCTATCTATCTATCTTAGTTTCTTCATCCATCTATCTATCTATCTATCTATCTATCTATCTATCTATCTATCATGCACGCACATACATATTTAGCAAAATACATATTTCATTCAATTGACATTGTAGAATGGACTATTTTTAAGATAACAAATCAGTTAACGACGCGTAGGAATACATGAACAGCAATGCGGGTACATATACATATAATATGTATACTGGTTCTTGTCAAAGATGATAAGAGATATCAGTTTTCACAGACACACAGCCATACGTAAACATAAACACGAGGGAAAGCAGAAATCGCATAAGAACGAATTGTGTAATGATTGTGGATGTAGAGATTTTTTGCGCTTTCCTTATTCGAGTAAAGGATGGCGAATTATTTACTATCCAAGCACTGATTCAATTATTATGTAGAGCGAGATCTTTTTAGCGACGTCGAAAAAGTTTTGCAAGGTTGGTTTTGACTAAAGATGTATGCTGCAGCTTTCATTCACACATCGTTAGAAAATCTTCGATAATGCAATTTCTTAGACAATATGAAAGGATGTTATTCATTCAGACGTCATATTGACAATATGATAAACGGCACGCGGCGTACATTGTAAAATATACCAACAAAAGTTATTATAAACATATCTAAAAAAAAAACAAAAACAACAACAAAGGATATTTTAACTGAAATCGACGTATCATATTTAACATACAAATAGGAGTATATGATGGAAATTTGAAAAATATCAACTGCTTAATATGAATCCATTTGAAAAAAATTACCTTGCATTATAAAATATAGCCTAGTGTATATTTATATCCGTACGAGATATTACTAAGTAATTCATCTCGTCTAGAATAAACCTCAACAGAATGCAGAAATCACTGGACGGCCGTTTCGTCCGATATTTGGGACTCATCTGCAGTGAGCATCCACTACCGAGAATTGGAACCCGGAGAGTTACGTTATCAGGTAAACGCCATACCAACGCGCCTCGGTGGCGACTAGGTAGCGAATCAGACTCGATATAGCGTCGTTCGATCACATATTCCGTGGTGGAACTCATCCGAGTTTCTCTTATACCCATAGGACTGTGCCCGCACGAGCCACGACTACTATCACTAAGCCGCTCCATCCAGAGCATTAGAAGCCGGTTCAAGGAAGGATGTACAAATGATAGAAATTATTAGGAGGAGATTTGAGATGATTTATAATTAATTCATCGAGTCTAGAAGAGTTTATTATCGTGCTGAATACTGACATGATGTTATTCGATTTATGAGAATACATTGAATAATTGCATTTTTCGTTTCGAGTAATAAGCTTTTTTTTAAATCCTTGTGTTTTTACTTTTGATATCAAATTGCTAAAAAGCAAAGAGCATTAATCTATGCGTTGCAAAATGGTGAAGCAATATCAGCACTCAAAACTTAAACGGAAGTTACTGATGAACTATTTAGCCAGTTTATTCTTTTATTGTTACATTTGTTGTGAAGATTTTCTGTTAAAGAATAATGGTTATCTTTATTTTCGATATTTATTTTGAGGTTTTAATTTTTATATTCTGCTGGGGGCTACGTACTTCTCTCTATGAGCAAACGCAGGAGTGGCTAAATATACACCAACATGGGAAAATGGTTAACCTTCTGACGTTTTAATAAGATTTCATAGAGCGTGACACGAAAGATCTAATAAGTAAATAGACAATGGCAATTATTATATAGAGTTTATGGTGTAGGCCACCTCGAGGAGGTGTAATGGTTAGCAAGCTTGTCTCGCGAGAACAATTATGAATGTGTAGTGAGTTCGATCCTCACTGTGCGCCCCTTACTTTCAGCCTTGTGCCACATCCAAGCTACGCGTGGATAAATCACTAAAGAGATTATGGTGATTAAAATGACTAAGTGCCTTGTTTGAACATATTTTATTTTCAGCATCCAGTGTCTCTGAAATGACTTATGAAACTTTGCAGTGTTAATCAACCCCAACAATCATCAGGTGTGCAGCATAATTTACCAATTTTGTTAGAACATTACTGAAATTTACCCTCATAGGTCACAATGCAGAATTACCCTACTAAGTTAATATCAATGTGCAGACAGACACCTAGACATATTTTCAACTTTAAATGCCATGTGCATTTTAGATGAGGGTTTTCACTTCTCCACTGCTACGGTTTCCTTTTTGTTGTTCATTTGGTATTTGTTGAGTGTCCATTCTTCATGAGAAATAATTCGTGAATGTTCCTCTCTCAGACGTGTTTAAGATGGCAGAGAAGCCCATTCTTGTCTTCTATTTAACTAATTCCATATCTCAAGAAGGACCAATTATTGAATTGGAAGTAAGAAAACGGGATATTTTCGGCAAAATATTGATTTTTCCATTTTGCTACACGAGCCTTAAAATCTATTTAGTGCACATAATAAGAATCAGGAATAATTCTTTTTCTTTCCAAGTCATTTTACTGTTGCAATTGAATGAAGTATGAATAGGTTAGGCATTAAATAGTCTTTAATTTATTATAATTATGAGTTGTCACGGTTCGCATTAATCACAGTTGGTGAAGTAAAAGGTGTTTAAAGATCGCGAATTGGCCATATATCTGACAGTAGTTTCGTAAAGTTAATTCAGGATTCCCAAATTTCAGACAATAAATTACTGATTATCTGGATTAAAACTTTTAAACATTTGAATAACTCAAAGTCCTAAAAATATACCATCTTGAATAGTGATCAGACGAGATAGAATTTTTAAAATTAATTTTTAAACGCTCACACGCTCTTCAGCAAGCAAGGTATTGTTTTACTATCTGGAATTTCTTCCTACATGGCAGTGAATGCTGGAAAAGCTTCTCAGACACAAAGTAAATACGTAAGTCTGCTGAAATCTTTGTTCTACAGAAGGATGCTGAAAATATTATGCGAGCAATGAATAAATCTTAGAGAAAATGGCAACAAAAATGGCAGTTATCTTTACAGTGTATTCAAAGCGAGAAAGTCTTTTTAATTTGTAAGAATATCTTTTTTGTGGGAAGATAATAAACATTTAACGATATACGTATTATTAATTAAGGTAGGAAGAAGTGTTGGGTTCATACATTGATTGATAGCTAACTATGCCGAATAAACGGTCGGTTCTTTCTACGGCCCCAGAAAGTAACTGATTAGTTGATTGCGTGTTTTAGTTTAGTTTATCTCTATAATTTGTAAGCATTTCATTTTTTTAAATAATAATCGTTTCAGTGACTAACTAATTAATCCATATTTAACAGTGAAGAAGATATTGTTTCATACGTTTCCTAACGGCATTTAAGCGTAAGATAAATATAACGCCCCCAACAGGAATTGTAACTTAGCTTTCCAATTAAAATTTCGGAGACATCCATTTCCCCACCCGCATATCGAAGCTTACAGCACCTGGCATTCCCAAGCGGTCACCCATCTAGGTACTGATCAAGTCGAAGTTGCTTAACTGCGGTGATCTTACGGGAACCTGAGTTACAATGAGATGTAGCTGTAAGGCTTACATTAGATGGACTGAACTTATTAGCAATGACTTCTGAACATAACAGTACGACACAAATCTGAAAAGTCTTTGGCCGGGCTATGGTAGGTGGAAACGTTGTGCGAGAAAGAGTGGATGAATTTGGAATTGAGCCAGAGACATTAAATCCATGTTATATTGGATTAATTAGAAATATGAAGAAACATTTAAGCAGTCAAAACCAGACTATCACTCGGGTCTACAAGGATTCTGGAAAAGTGACAAAGGTACGAGCAAGCTTTTATTCACTGAGATTCCGATAATAAAAAATAAATATCAGATTAATTTTTAATAATTATTTGACCAAATTTAATAATATGGATGTTACACGCCCCCGAAAAAATGAAATTCGGTTGAGCACTTTAGAGGGAAAAGCGCGACTTTGTAAACAGTGACTGCTACTGTTGACGCAAAAGCTCTTCTATGAATTGAGCACTCAGGGGGGAAAAATCTCCGACTGATGCCAAATCGGTTGGGCCAAATCTTGGCTTGAGAAAATCGGATGTCTAGACACACTGATGAGTTGTGATACAGCGAAACACTCTGTCTGTGGATGACACATATAATATTGATGTTATAAAACTTTACTTTTAGTTTGTAAAAGAATAAGCGGTAAGTATAATCGGCAGTTAAGGACAGTACTAAATGTCAGCTGAAAACAAAATATACCTAATAAAAAAAGACATCTGTGAAAAGCCAGTAGTGTTTAGTAGCCATAGCTGGACAGGTAAACACATAGTTCTGAATTGGCTAATGCAGTAGAATCCAAATTATTGGAAATGCTCAACAAGTCTGCTAGTAAGAGCGTTTCTCAACCAACTCCTAAACTACATTAGAATAAAACAGGCGGACCTGGGTAGAGCTAGAATGACAGAAACGATTGAATAGAAGTAGTCAGAATTATTCGTTTGAGAAACATAAGATCGATGATTTAATCTGATACATTTTCATGTAACTGAAACACGCCGTAGATAAATTGTTATGCTTGAAGAACCGTCAACATCCTGATGAAAACGTTTATGTCTGTTTTATGTAAGTTCTGTAGATTATCCTATAGAATATATGTCCGTAGCCTAATCAGGGTAAGCATTGCTTTTATGTATTATGTAGCTGCGGGCCGCCCTCCCAGTCGGGTTTGAATTAAGAGTAGAAATTCTCGCAAGCTGGTTGCCAACGAAGGTGCTCTTATCCTCGAAGTGAGCGGTGAGTTGATGGATTAAACATAAGTTATTTATGTGAAACAAGGAAAAAGTCCTTGACTGTTATCTGAACATGACACGCAAATCCCAATTTCGGAGGTGATATCCACTTCAATACATTCACCTCTATTTTGCAAATTCACAGACATTATATTAGCATTCTTTGAAAAAAGCCTTTTGGACAAAGAGTCGGTGGTAATAATTTCCTTTCTATTGGTTCTAAAAGATAAATCAGATTAAATGTTGAAAATGCATTTTTCTATTAATGTTCAACGCTTACAAGGCTCAAGAGTCACTGAAGGCAGATGGGTATTGAATGAAGCGAGTAGTATAGACGACTTAAGAGTAGGAGGTGGAGGGTGATGATTATGAGGATCTGGAGAATCGATAAAAAATAACACTGGACTTACAGTGGTTAAGATTGTAGAAGAAAGAAACCATAAATGACATTTTTTTTTCATTTTAAGGAGAATTTCCTCTTTACTAATGGAATACAAATAGAAAGATTGTGATTCTACTACGCGTATTTTTCGTGGCTATCTTCGGGGCAACTCTCCGAACTGGGGATGGAGCTCGTCAGACATTATGCCATAGAAATAGCGATAGAGTAGCAAGAGGCTATATTTCATCCCGTTAAGGCTGCATTAATGTTGTTAAACGCTGTCAAGGCGGCAAAGGAGGGGTTGACAAGCTTCATCAGTGATATGATATCAAGATTTCGCTCTGACCTAACACTTTTAAAGATAGGGCATGACAGATACTTTTCGCTACGTTTTAGAAAAGTAGTTGCACGTTTTCTCAGAACCTTTCTTTAAGTTTCACTTAATAAAACATAACGAGCCATATTTGACAGGATATCGGATAAGATTAATCAGTATTTTTGGAAACGATATTCTGAGAAAGTAATATATTGTAGATGTAAAAAAATTGAATTGATTAAGAAAATAGCGATTCATGATGGCTTGTGAGGTTAAGAGTCGATTATTAGAAGGAAATTGAAACTTAAAAAAAAGACGTTATAAGAGAGACAGAGCAGTGCATAATTGACAAAAAATCAACATAAACTTTGAAGTAGATACACACGCAAAAACACACACACGCGCGCGCGCGCACACACCCACATATATATATGCGCGCATTTATGTCATCGATTAATTTATGAGATCGCTATAGGGGAGTCTGGAAAGTCAGACTGTGTATACAATGACTATTGATTAAGCCAGGTGAATAATGCACATTTTGCATTCATCTGAAAGGTGTTCTTTTTACTTGTTTAGGTGCGGTACTTTCCTTTGATTTCGTTTGATGAAGATGATCAAACTGCTGCAAGAAATAAATATACATCTATTTTTCCTGTGGTGATATATTGGACTTGATGTACCGGCCGATTTGTAAAGGATTCATTGTGCTGACTTTTCAAATTAGATTTTTCTTTATATAAAATTATGTAAATTCAAGCCAAGCATCGTTCACCTCTTGGGTGCCAGACCTAGTTTTACTATACCCCCACTTTACCCTTTACCCTCCTCTTCCTGCGGCTTCTCCTTAATCATCTACTTTTTAACTCCAACTCGTCTTCATCACTGCCATATTCACCTTTTTCATACATCCAAGCCTCTGCTTTCTTTCCACATCATCATCACCACTACCACCATCATCAACATCGCCGCTGTATTCAAATATTCCACTTGCTTCTGTTTACTCTATCACTATTTCTCTAATGTATTTCTACCAAATCTTCTTCTTCTTCTTCTTCCTCCTCCTTATCCTCCTCCTCCTCCTCCTCCTTCTCCTCCTCCTCCTCCTTCTTATCCTCCTCCTCCTTCTTATCCTCCTCCTCCTTCATCCTCCTCCTCCTCCTTATCATCTTCCTCCTTCTCCTTCTTCTCATCCTCCTCCTCCTTATCCTCCTCCTCCTCCTTCTTCTTCTTCTCCTTCTTCTTCTCCTCCTCCTCCTCATTCTTCCTCTTCTCCTCCTCCTTCTTCTTCTTATCCTCCTCCTTCTTCTTCTCCTTCTTCTTCTTCTTCGTTTGATCAGTTAAACAATGAAGCCATTTTCCAGATGAAATTCAATAAATATATTAGATTTTTTCTACATTTAACTTTTACCTGATCGTTATGTCATTATCTTCATCCATAGCATAACATTTCTTTAACAGCCTGTAAAATCTCTTCGCTTGAAATGTTTTATTTAAATAGTTTCTCATTCCTATCTAATAGCAAAAATAATTTGATGCTGTTTTAAAAGAAAAAAAATGTAAAAAGAAACACAAATGTATTTATATAAAACAAAGTGTCTGCTCAGTAAACATGTGAGAATACAGTGACTGTGACAACAGATTAGTCGATACTAAATTTTGCAAATCGTATTGCAGACAAGTTTAACAATTCTTTGATGTACCTTTAAGAATAGACGAACATGATTAGCGCCGTCCGTTTCTGAAATTATATATAACTTTGTTTCTATTCCATATAATTTGTCCATCTTTATTCCCATGATAAAACTCTGAAGGCAAATAAACATTTTAATGTCTTTGATGTAGTAACGTTTCTCTTTCTTGTAATAATATTCCATTTGTATTTTTAGCAATAGTTCTTCAGTAAAAGCATTGATATTGATACGACAGTTGTTTTAACGTTCTATCACAGCCAATATTCACATTAGTAGTGTTCTTATGTTAATGTCGCATAATTCTATCAGAAACTTTTTTAAAATTATTTTCAGCTTTTTTTATGCTCCTTCTATTCTAATAAACTCAGGATTGAATTTCCATGGGTCTATCCTTAAATGATTAACAATTCTAATATTGCTTTTGACCCAATACATGGCTAAAATGACACAAGGGTTAGAACGTTACTACATGATATTATTGTATGAATGTAATCGGATGAGATGAAAAGTGCAGATTATGAGGATATGTAGGAAAGATAGATGTTGGCACTAAACATGAAAAGGGCAAGTTTGTTGTAATCGATTGAGTCATTGATTGTTTAATAGCATATCTCCACCTTATGCGTCATATAATGCTGACATGTAATTTTCTTAGAATCTTTAAAGTAATAAAATATGATATATGTTATTCTGCAGTCACAGTTGAATGCATGGTAGACGATACTCTGATTTTGAGCATATACCTGTTTCTGTGGACATAATTACTAGAGGCTGTAATGTTTTATGTTGTTATGTTGAAGCTATATTTTGGGAAACAGTTTGATTTATTTTAAGAAATTGTAGTAGATTATATGGAATAATATAATGAAAGAGTTATTTCCTATTGGTTCTTCAGCTGACTAATTATATTTAGAAACATATCAACCTCTATGTGTTAATTAATACCAAAATCAAAATATGTTGAACAAAATTTTATTCCTTCAACTAAATATATTTTGAACGCATCTTCAAATACAAATAAATGTCTTGTAAGTCATTTTGCTACGAAATGTATTGTTGATAATTCTACTATACTAGGTAGTGATCATTTTACTATAAATAGTTATTATTGGTAACTTTGATATATAAATATGTATTGCTGGTATATTTTCTATAAAAAATATATTTTTATGCTTTCATAGTATTTTACTATAGTTTAGGCGTTATCTTTTTCCTCGTAGTTGGGGGCCAGATTGATGCTAATCCGAGTAAGGTTGGGCCTGGGAACAACAGCAATTGAGAGGTGGTTCTACGCTCCTCAATACTTCTAATTTCTCGATCATATGCCTTGTTTCCAGATGTAGTTTATCGTCAAGTTGCGATCGAGGAAG